TAGAGAAGAGACCAGCATGATGTGAGACTGTGGGAGAGTGAAAGTGCCGGAGAAGTGCTGTGCCCATGGGGATGCTTGTGGTCGACAGAGTTGTCTTCATTGGCATTACTTTGGAGAGACTCTACTGAAATGAATTCTATATGGAATTCTTTAATGTCAATAAGAAAGATGAATTGCATATTTCAGTGTCTAAGAAAACCTGTGTTTAGCATCCTGTACAGTGCCATGAGTGCTTTGGTTTCCATGGGTACTTTGGCATAATGCCATGGGTCCTTTTCATCTCCGAGTTGTCTAATTTCTCTTAGTTTGGCCATGTGATGTCGCAGGAGTAGGTAGTGTCATCATTTAAAGAGCACAGCTCTAGGCATTTAGTCAAAAGGACCTTCATTTTCTTAGCATGCTTCATTTGGCCTGCATTTTTTCAAGAACACAGGAGGGTTTTTCTTTTCTTTCTTTCCACTAACCCGAGTGGTCACTAGGTGGCCTGCTAGTATTGTGTTTTAATGTGCCTTGTCATAACCCAAGGAAGTAGGCTTCTTGCCGCTGGATTTGATCTAAAGTGATATTTTAAATGCTGTTTTTAAATCTACCAGGAACTCTAGATTTACTAGTGCTATAAATTATTTAAAGATTTGTCTTCTTACAAAAATGGTGGTTTAGTGCTCTAAATGGATTTTATACTGCACATAAAAACCAGACTTTGTAGCTCAGTTTTAAAGTGTTGCCAGAATGTCTTTTGCTCATGCTTTAGATACATGTAGTTTAGATAATAGAAACTTAATAGTTGAATAAAAATATGAATGAGCCCTAGCATTCAAATATGTTGCACAGATTTGTCTGTGGAAGAAAGTACAGAAAATACTTAAAGGAAAAACTTTAAATGTGGAATTGCTGTTTATTAACATGCTCAGAGTTCTATAGGAAGATTAAAATAAGAGGACAAAAGTTGCCATTTTTAGATATTGAATGTCCTACCTACCAGTTTCTGGGTAAAACCAAACAATTTTCTGAACAAGGATATAGATACATCACATATCTGGCTTAGATTATGTCTGATCAGTTAAGAAAAAAAGTTTATCTATGTTACATTTAAAGTTAAGTTAAAATTAAAAATTCATAGCACCATAATATTTCTAGACTTTGAGGTATAACAAGTAAGCCGTCATTAAGATAATATGTGAATTCTTCACTGACCCTTGCCTCAGGACAGTTCTGAGTAGCCCCCAGTCTGTTGTTACCCTCGACATTGGAACATTGGGGCCCCTCAGATGGGAGGTGAGGTGTCTAGGTATGTAAAGACTTTCTCTGGCTTGGCTTGTGATCTCTTTTTTGTTTGAAAGGAAGTTTGCTGAAATAAAGGGGTTGCTATGAACAAGAGGAAGAACACATTGTTTTTGAGAGCCAAGTGTGTCTGGAAATCCCAAAAATTCCAAATGAAAGGAGCAGCTCACATGTCAGGGACTGTGAATTCTGTTATCCAGATAGTGAGCCTCACTTTGAAGTGGTTTTGCTCCTTTTGGGTGTTTAGTGGTGGTTTTGGAAACTGAGATTTGCCATTAAAATGTGCTAGAAACTGGCCATGCCTGTGCTTTTAAGATTCTCTTTGTATTCCATTTCTTAATTTAAAAAAATATTTATTATTTTTATTTTACGTGTGTGAGTGTATTGCCTGCATGTATATAAGCACACCTGTGTTGTGCAGTGCCCATGGAGGTCAGAAGAAGGTATTGAATCCCCTGGAACTGGAGTTACAGATGGTTATTAGCCACTGCATCCATGCTGGGAACTGAACCTGGGTCCTCTGCATGAGCAGACAGTGCTGTTAACCTCTGAGCCATCTCTCCAGCCCATCTTTGTATTTCTGATTTCAGTTCTTTTGTCTCAGCACAGAATCTATACACAGCTCACTTCTACTGAGCAGATGTTCCATGTTCCCATTGACCATGCTGCTATGTTTTTATTAATTCCTTAATATTAATTTTATCTTTTTAGAAGAAGAAAACAGTAGCAAACTTTTGAACTTTTGCTTGGCATTGGTTAAGCACCAGAATTGAATACCTAAGTTGTAAGGCTAACATTTACTTTGCAAGTATTGTTAGCTATGAATCTGAAAAGGGAAGAATTTTTTGAGATGCTTTTGATGAGAAAACCATTTTGAGTTTACAGTACAAAAACATTTCTGCTCTATCCTAAAATGACTATAGTTCTCATACTGATTTAGGAAGCGGCACATGACTAAATGCGCCAAAGCACAATGTTTGTGAGAAAAACTTCGTCAGGGAATAATGGAGTTGTGCTTGTGTTGCCCTCTGCATCTTACACTCGTTACCCAGGGGGTGTTTCGATTTGCCCACAGATTATTTGTTCATCTGTCTGTTAACTTGGTGTGATTGGAAGGAGGCTGTAGAAACATTTGTTCCTTTGTAGGTCTTGCATGGACAAAGGCAGTGGAGTCAGATAGCCTGTGGGTACTCCCTCTATGGTTCTAGTGAGGGCTGACTCTTGGTGGAGGGAAGATCACAGGCCTAGAGCCTCACAGTGGGTCCGTCACACTGCTGTTCATTTGTACTTTGGAGCTGCACGTGGGGATGCTTGCCTAGTAGATCAGCTGAAAATTAAAAGTGCATGTTGCATCCGACCAGACTTAAAAGATACTTCTAAGAATGCTTTCTTCTGATCTCAGATTGTTGACAGTTGTCAATTGTAAATACAGGAAAGGGGAGAGCACTAGTCTCCATCACAACACAAAAGGATCCCATCCTTGCCAACTATACAGGCAAAGGCAGAAATGGCAAAGCAAGCTTTGTGGAGGGTTACTCTTACTGATGGGGGCTGAGATGGTGCTTTTTGGATTTCCTGTGTGATCTGCTCATACATAGTGCATTCTAATTTTCAAAATGCTCAGGGTTCTTTAAGGTGGTGGAAATGGAAGTTGGTTCTCTTTTTTGCCCCGTGGCAGGGTTTGAAGAAATTGGTTTACAACTGTTCACTTCTCCTTGATAAAGCTATTTTGGGCCTAACAGAAATGTTGACTATCTTTTTGTGTAGAATATTCTTAACGCACTGAAAGATCATGTACTGATCAGGAGCCCTTGGAATTGTAAATGTTTAGCAGAGTTCGTTTATGAAAGTAAATTACAAACAGTATATGTGACGACATTTTTCATAGATTGGTTTTTATGGAGAAAACACTAAAGGATATTTTTGGAGTTAAAATTCCAATTATAACACTGGATTCTGACATTCAGTTCTAACACTGACTTTTATGACTTTGGGAAAAATAACTGTTTCTAGCTTTATTTCTCTCATCTATTAGATAGAAATATTAATAGTGCTGCCTCAGAGCTGTACTGAGAATTCTGTGAATTTAATGTGTGCCAAGAGTTTAGGATCGTTTCTGGCATGTGGCATGTGGCAAGCACATTGTTGTCGTCATCATCATTGTCACCCTTGTCATTTATTACTAGTTGTATTAAGTGCTTTGGAAGACAGGGAAGTTGGTGGAACTGGGAGGAGTTGGGGAATATACAAAGTACAATGCATGAAATTCTCAAAGATTGATAGTCTTTCTTACAGCAGTTGTAGCTTCCTAACAATTGATGCCATGTGGCAGGAAGCACACACTAGCCTTTTCACAAGGACTTCTTTCGTTTGACTTTGCATTTACAACACCTCCATATATGGTCTGGCTTGGTATGTCTAGGTTTGTTAGCACATCTGAGTGTCTATACCATTTTGCATTCCCACCAGCTATGAATGCAAATTCCTGCTGCTTTATGTCTTCAGCAGTGTTTAACCATTGTCAGTGTTTTGGATGTGTATTGTTTTAGTGAGTGTACTGAAGTATCCTCAGTTAAATTTATAATTCTCTAATGATATACGATGCTGAATATATTTCATAGGCATATGTACCCCATATGCATATCTTTGGTGAGGTGTTGATTCAGGACTTTCTCTTGGCTATTGGGGTTGTTTTTGGTTCCATATGATATTTAGGTTTGGTTTTCTATTTCTGGGAAGAATGTCAGTGGTACTGTGGGGACTGCATCGAATCTGTAAGTTGTTTCGGGTAGGATGGACATCTTAACAATATTCTTCCAACACATGAATATGGAGTGTTTTCTCTGTGAATTTTAAGCTGTTCTTTGTATATTTTGGATATCAGTCTTCTATCCCTTGCAGATAGTTTATTCTCTTGAGAATCATTTTAGTTTAAATAACAAAGTATTGCCTGGATACATGTATAAGAAGCTCTTATATGGTGCTATTTTGTATGCTAATAGAGGTTAGTGGATTTCCTGTTAAAAAAGAGTTGAAGTGATTAAACCCATTTGTAATTCTTAGGGTCATGGTAATGTGTTATGTACAAGTCTTGTAAGATCTCCTAAACAGTATGTAAATCACACACTTGCCCTCCCTTCCCTTCATATACGTATGTGGCGCTTGTGCGATAAATGAGAAGAAACCTTCTTTCACTGTCCTTAGTCCTTGGAGCTTTGATTAAAGTTCTCGACCATTTCACATGAGATTAAAATACCATTTTTCAAATGATGATGGGGGGGCTGTGTGGAGTGAAGCTGACACATGATGGAATATAAGTTAAAAGGTGGTTTTAGTGGCACTAGGGATGAAGGTACAGGGACAAAAGTGGAATAAAGTGATAATGTTTCAGATGGTTTGTCTTCCTTTTGAATTCTTTTCATCCATGGCATTTGACGTCACCTCTATTTGTAGTTGCCTGCTTTTGACACAATAAATTCTACGAATGTAGTCTTTCCCACTAGATAATGGAACATAATGCTTAATACTTCTCCAGTGTGGGATGTTATCTGAGCGTAGATTGCCTACCTTTAGGAAACTTGATGGGGGAACTCAGCACTAAAACCCCCTTTTATGCAAGTTTTTAACATCTGAAATGCTGATTTTCTTCAGTAAGATACCTTTTAGAGAAACCTGAATTGTAGGATCAAACATTTAATTGTCCTCTTATTGTTATAAAGGACATTGTCCCTGTGGATGCCTCTTATGAAGTAAAAGAACTGTATGTTCCAGAAAATAAACTTCATTTGGCAAAAACTGATGCAGAAGCATTACCAGCACTGAAGATAAACAAAGTAAGTTCCCTGTTGCTGCTCAGACTGTGATTGCAGCCTTGTGTGTAGTTGTTAGTTTGGTAGATATGTGACTTAGCAGCTGTGTTTGAAACCAGGGTGGAAGAAGGAGGCTCAGGGTGTTGTGCTGTACATGTGCCAGGGAGGGGGAAGAGTTTAATTGTAGAATGATACTCCCACATTACCATGGCTTTGATTTGCTTTTAGTCATAAGATCTGTTTATTTTGAAATATCAAAGGAGAAAGATTGTGTGAGATTTGGAGGCTTAAGAGAAAGAATGGTTTAAAAAAACATTAAGAAATACTAATCCATAATAATTAAAATGAACATTTTTCCTTTAAACATGTTTCCTAATCTCCTGTCCAACACTCAGCTCTCCTTTGTATTAAGAATAATTGATGTATTAAGAATAGTTCTGTTGTATATCTTCTAATGATATCATTAGGTGTCTTTTTCAACTAAAAATTACTGAGTTGAACTAGGCAGAATAAGTGGAAACTAATTTATTTTCAAGTTCTAGGAAATTTAAAGTTGCACTACGCATGCATATTTTATTTTGTTTTTTAAATTTATTTTTATTTTATATGTATATCTTTTTTTTTTTTTTTTTTTTTTATTTTTAGTGATCTTTCTTTCTTCGTGTGTGTGTGTGTGTGTGTGTGTGTGTGTGTGTGTGTGTGTGGAACTCACTATGTAGACCAGGCTGGCCTTGAACTCATAGAGATCTGCCTTTGCCTCCTAGTCCTGGGATTAAAGGCATGTGCCACCACTCCCGGTTTATATGTATAAGTCTTATGCCTGCATATGTGTAAGTACACCCATGTCACACAGGGCCCATGGAGGACAGAAGGGGGCGTCAGATCCCCTGGAACTGGAGTTTTGGATGATTTTTTTAGTTGCTATGTGGGTGCTGGGATTTGAACCCGGGCCTCCTATGAGCCATCTCTCTAACCATATTTTAAAAACAGGGGTTAAAGAAAAAGGATATGGAACAGAAGATGGATTTTTTTTTTTTTTTTGTTGTTGTTGTTGTTAGGCTTACTTCTAAGGTAACAAAAGTCCAAAACACCTAGGGAAGTGTCAGTTCTGAAAGTACCGAGAAAAAAGACTCAACTTCTTGGCCTGGAGAAGACTCCTTAGTAGTTGTTCAAATCTTTGGTAGGAGTTGGTCTTGATGGACTTTGTGTGACTGGTATCTGAAAGGAATCTAAGACATGTTGGTGAGTGTCAGGGATGGCATAGAGCAGAAAGGTTCCAGCTAGCTATGTTGGAAGAACGAGAGTTTGTTACACCCCTCCACCACAGAGAGGAGAGAG